GCACACCATCTGCCTGCCCCTAGATTGCAATTTTTTTTTTTTTGAGAGATTTTCACTGTAGGGCGCGTGCGCTCACCAGACAGACAGAGAGAGACATAGAGACAGAAAGCGAGAAATCACCCCCCAGGGGGGATGGTCACGCCGCAATCCCTTCTCCTCCATTCTCCTCTCGGGATCTTGGGCACGCACGCACATGTGCCCGGCGTGAGTTTTAAGCCACCGGGTCCGGGACACGAACCGCGGTCGACTAAGTGGGAGTCCAGCGACATAGCCATTACGCTAACTGCTGGTTCCCCCTAGATTGCAATTTTTAACAGAATACCTACTATGTGCCAGTCATTGTCCTACGTCATGTACAGCCCTCACTCTCTAATGCAGATTTGTTCTTGTTCTAGAAAGAAGGGAACCTACTTGGTTCAGAAATGTGGAGTCACTTGCCCAAGGTCCCACGGCTAGTCAGTGGCCCTGTTGGGAAACAAACCCAGGTCTATGGATTATCTCGCCCATGCTTATTTTCACAATATGGAGCTGTCCTCACACAGGCCAAACTTCACATTCCCCCATCTGAAAATGAATCTCAACTGCCGGCTATGTAACAAACATTGCTTCTGGTACTTAAGATACATCAGTGAACAAAACAGACAACTGTCACTCCGATGACACTCAGGCTGTCCTGGAGGAAGATAGGACAAAAAAGGTAATGAATGAATAATAGTGTGCTCAGTTAGATGACACCAGGGACCAGCAGATGGTTGTATCACTGGACTCCCACATAGTCAACCGCGGTTCACGTCCTGGACCCAGCAACTTAAACTCACCAGGCATGTGTGTTGTGTGCCCAAAATCCCAAGGGGAGAATGGAGAAGAAGGGATTGTGGCATGGCCACCCCCCTCCCCCCACCACTGGAGGTGATTTCAAGCTTTCTATCTCTCTCTGTCTCTCCAGTGAACACACATGCCCTATAGCAAAAGTCTCTCTTAAAAAATAAAAGAAGACAATACCAGCTATTGGAGGGGAGAGGCTATCGACAGGGTAGTTTCATTTGAAGAGTATTGGGACCACAAAAATACTACTGTTGGGGACATTTGACAATATCTGAAGGCGTCTACTAAGTAGAGGCCAGGGTTGCTACTAAACACCCTACGACATGCAGGGCAGCCCCTCCACACACACCACCACCAACAAAGAATGACCCGTCAGCAGTGGCAACGTGAGATCCTTTGGCCTAGAAAAAGGAAAAAGCCATGCAGGGTAACTGGGCCAGGGGCAGGAGAGAGATGGGGGTTATGAGTCTCTGCATCAGAGTGGGAGCCTTCCTGCAGACCCCCCTCAAGCGGAAATAGAATTCACGTGGGGTTGCTGTTTGTCTTTCTCACCCCCACCTCCCACCGGTACCAGGGTGCCTCCAAATCAAAGCAAAACTCTAAGCGTTCTTTCTCACAGTACTCAGAAAGTTGGTTACTTCCTTAAACCGGCCATGGCTTTCTTCTTTCATGAGAAAAGAAGTATCCCCCCTTCCCCTTGGGAATTTCTTTTTACAGTTCAAAAAGAGATAAAAGCAAGAACTAAAACTATGCAGTTACCACTTGGAGCCTTGGGGGAAGTAAATCCCAAATGTCCAGCCCAGACAAGAGGCCCCCCTCCACCTTTGTCAGCGCTTCCCAGCCCAGTCGCCTCCTGCACTTTACTGCTACCGGAATGGGGGCCTCCCCACCTGGCCCTGGGGTGAGAAAACACGAGATGGACCTGGTGGGGCAAGTGTTAGCTGTTCAGGGCTCTGCGTGGGGTGGGGGAGCTTTGCCCCTAGATTGCAATTTTTTTTTTTTTGAGAGATTTTCACTGTAGGGCGCGTGCGCTCACCAGACAGACAGAGAGAGACATAGAGACAGAAAGCGAGAAATCACCCCCCAGGGGGGATGGTCACGCCGCAATCCCTTCTCCTCCATTCTCCTCTCGGGATCTTGGGCACGCACGCACATGTGCCCGGCGTGAGTTTTAAGCCACCGGGTCCGGGACACGAACCGCGGTCGACTAAGTGGGAGTCCAGCGACATAGCCATTACGCTAACTGCTGGTTCCCCCTAGATTGCAATTTTTAACAGAATACCTACTATGTGCCAGTCATTGTCCTACGTCATGTACAGCCCTCACTCTCTAATGCAGATTTGTTCTTGTTCTAGAAAGAAGGGAACCTACTTGGTTCAGAAATGTGGAGTCACTTGCCCAAGGTCCCACGGCTAGTCAGTGGCCCTGTTGGGAAACAAACCCAGGTCTATGGATTATCTCGCCCATGCTTATTTTCACAATATGGAGCTGTCCTCACACAGGCCAAACTTCACATTCCCCCATCTGAAAATGAATCTCAACTGCCGGCTATGTAACAAACATTGCTTCTGGTACTTAAGATACATCAGTGAACAAAACAGACAACTGTCACTCCGATGACACTCAGGCTGTCCTGGAGGAAGATAGGACAAAAAAGGTAATGAATGAATAATAGTGTGCTCAGTTAGATGACACCAGGGACCAGCAGATGGTTGTATCACTGGACTCCCACATAGTCAACCGCGGTTCACGTCCTGGACCCAGCAACTTAAACTCACCAGGCATGTGTGTTGTGTGCCCAAAATCCCAAGGGGAGAATGGAGAAGAAGGGATTGTGGCATGGCCACCCCCCTCCCCCCACCACTGGAGGTGATTTCAAGCTTTCTATCTCTCTCTGTCTCTCCAGTGAACACACATGCCCTATAGCAAAAGTCTCTCTTAAAAAATAAAAGAAGACAATACCAGCTATTGGAGGGGAGAGGCTATCGACAGGGTAGTTTCATTTGAAGAGTATTGGGACCACAAAAATACTACTGTTGGGGACATTTGACAATATCTGAAGGCGTCTACTAAGTAGAGGCCAGGGTTGCTACTAAACACCCTACGACATGCAGGGCAGCCCCTCCACACACACCACCACCAACAAAGAATGACCCGTCAGCAGTGGCAACGTGAGATCCTTTGGCCTAGAAAAAGGAAAAAGCCATGCAGGGTAACTGGGCCAGGGGCAGGAGAGAGATGGGGG